AAATATTCCATCTATTCAAAATATTGATCAACTGATCCCTATGCTCAATATCTATTTCTCCATTGATAGAAACCTCTTCCAAGACTATATTGCCACAATGAAACCGATTAAGGAAGCGACTCACCCTTTTTCGTTCTTCAGAACCCGTTGAGATGATGCAAGCATGCCCTCGAGCTAAGACCTTCCCCTTCTGCCAGTTCACGTCTCCATCTCCCAGATTCAAAACTTCCACAGTGGCTTGCGATTCCGTATATATACCACCTGGCATATATATGTGTGACTTTCCAACCTGGTAGGATTTTGCATCTAATAAAACTTCACCATCTCTGAAGTTGACGAGGCTTATCTTGACGCGAGACGGACGTCCCTCTTTCAGACATACATCCTCTTCCACAATGGCAGTTATTCGAGCATCATCTCCATGAAGAGTGATGAGATCTAACAACTGTTCATGCTTCTTGATCAACTTACAGGTCCCGTTGGTAACGATAAAACTAACATCGGGATGGTTTATGATTGGTTGTCCGACGATCACTTCGGCTTGGTCCATATTCGCGGTTGTTACAACGGCATGTACCTCCATATAAATCTCATCAATTTTCAGCATAAAGGTACTCTCTGAATTGCTGTAGGTTTCTTGACCACCAAATCCACGGAGAATATTCGGTCTCGACCTAGTGGGTAGCTGCAGCTTTTCAACAACATGATTAGAGATTATATTGACTTGGCTTCCTGTATCCACGTAAGCAATTAACTTAGCTCCATTGAGTTCGCACCATTTGAAATAGGCTGCGTTAATATTTTCAGCATCGACGAGTTTCACTTCCTTGGTCTGATTGGGTTGATGTTTATCCTTGGACGTCTGATGATTCAAGTTTCGATGGCACTGATCTTTCTTATGACCAAAGCGTTTGCATAAGTAGCAGCGAACCGCATTTACATAGCATGATTTCGCAGTATGACCTGCTTTGCCACAGCGGAAGCATTCAATTGAATTTCTGCGGGGTTCATTCTGTACTTCTTGTGTTTCCACTCTAGGCCTTTTAGGTGGATAGGCCGGTGAAGGAGAATGATAGTTATCCATTGGAGCTATAAACCCTGCGTACAATTCGTCGGGTGTTGAACATTGAAAAGCCCTAGCATTCGCCTGCAGTTCGAGTGGTAACCCTTTGATGACACATGAAATTATGGCGTCGTTGTCGAGCCTGCACTGTTGGGCGAGAGATATTTTGGAATGATAGTAGTGTGTCATAGTCTCATTCCTTTCTTTCTTTCTACAAACGAATTCTTCGAGAACAGATGCATAATCAATACATCGGGGAAATGCCCTTGTGAGTGTCGTTTTCCATTCTTCCCAAGACCTATCGTAGTTCTCTTGACGGTTGAACCAATCCCGAGCAGACCCTCTCAGCTTAACTTGCATGTAACAGGATTTTTCATAGTCCGACCACTTGTGAATTCTACCAAGCTGTTCTATTTTCTGAATCCATGCAAGGACAGTCAGATTTTTGTTATCAGGATCGAACATTGGAATAATATCTCCTTTAACGAGTGGTAATTTACTAGACGACTCACCGCCTGTATCTTGTCCATTGTTGTCAACCGCAAGCGACACCATATCCTCATGTCTAGTCAATACCCTTTTCATAGCATCATTCACCTTTCTTGATATGTGTTTCTCAAGTAAGTCTTGGTACAATCTGTTCTCGTCGTCATCACTCATTTTTCTATTTTTCGAGTATTCCACGGTAATATCCCAACTTCTGATGTTACAAAGGTGTATAGGAATACTGATACTCGTCACTAACAAACACCAACACCTTTATTTTAAACTAATGAACATAACACTTCGCAAGTAGGTATATTATATCTCACACGAGTATTCAATTCTAACTGCCCGCCTGATTCATTCTTCGTCCCGTAGCCAGTCCATATCGCTGAGTCAGAGCTGATAAATACAATCATATAAACAACATAGGTGATTCTGTTTGAAAGTAACCAGGGGCGTAACATATATTACTATTTCTACATTTAATTTTTGCACAGGCAGCATAAAGAAGTTCACCAAAATTATGAAATCACCTCTTCTCTTGAAACATCATCTGAGTTAGTGATATCATTACAACACGGCAGAGAACAGACTCATCCTATCATACAAATCTTTGAAAAAATCGTTAAGTCTTGTCTGCTAGCTCTCCTACTATATCTTGAACAACCTCCAACTTTGTGAATATCAATAAAATCGACAATAAGAATAATTTTGAAAAATGCACATTCAGTTCATGATTTTTTTCAGGTATTTCCTATTATGTACTGTTTAATGCAGAGGAAGTCGCGAGTGGCGTACGAGACGGTTCTTCGTTACTTCGTATCTCTGTTCCCTCCTGATTTTCTTCCCGCTACTGTGATGTCAGATTACGAAGCTGCTTTGAGAGCGGCCATCAAAACTGTTTGGCCGAATACCACGCTATTCGGATGCTGGTTCCACTATTGCCGAGCTGTATTTAAAAAATCCAGGCAGCTTGGATTGCAGGTCTGTACCTATTCATAGAGGGTATTCAAAATTCACTACAAGAATTTCAAGAGGGTAGTTTTGAGGATGAATTGATACTTTTTTCCCATGAAAATGTGTCCTAAAATTCACCCCCTCCTAGATATCTTTTCACTCTAAAATTGGCCTAATACAAAAATATACCAAAAAGCCTGAATACATATTTCGGAAGCTCATTTTCATCGTCTCTTCTTGCTTGTTCCTAGATTTTGGAATATTTCCCAAACATAACCAGAGAGACTCATTTATTGTCATATGGTGGTATTTTAGTTATATTTTTGTGAGTAACCGACTATTGTTGAGGTAACTAAAATGGGAATATAGGCTAAAAAAGAGCAGGGGCTTGCAAGATCTCAGAAAATTTTGTTCAAGATAAATTTATTTCGCGCAACTTTATGATGGCCGAAGCGCGAAGGGGTGCATTATTGTGAATTGAAATTTTTGATTTCAGTAAGAAGTGGTCGAGTTATTCAGTGTCCTGACAAATTCTTTATAATTCCATATTGATAACAAAACCTAAACCTAATATTTCTCATTTATACCTATTCTGAACAATAACTAGGCTGAATTTCAGGTCATTACAAAGTGATAAAATAGGTACTACACTGTACAATCGGAAATATAATAACCAAATGAACTGAAAGCAGATGATAGCAATTAGTATATTGTTGTACACGAGCACGGAATGATAGTAATTTGAGGCGAGTGCTGCAAATCATACGAAAGAAAAATTACCATTCCTTGCGAGTTATACACTTTACTTTTTCTACGGCTGCAACAGATACCATCGATTTTTTTTTATTTCTTCAGTTTGTAGCCATCTGACTTTCCCTCAAATAATAATATATTGAACAAAGCTGTCATTGCTTAAAATTTGACATTTCACGGGAGAAGACATATGTCATTGTAATATCAGATACGGAAATGAAATAGATGGCATACAAAGTACCCCATTGATTTATCGAACACAGTAAAACAAGAACAAATTTGTGTTAGCAGTAAAAAAAATTATGGTCTCAACTCGCCGTGGCCCGTCAAACTTGTACAATGACATATCAAAGACTGGAACCTATGACACGATTATACACTACACTGTTTAACCACTAACCAATCAGATTTTTTACGCCTCGATACATGTTTCGCAACTATGTTAGCATCTTCAGAAGAAGATTGAAACTTTTAAACTTTTATAATCTTCTCCTGAAGATGCTAAAACATAGTTGGCGAAACACGTGTCGAGGCATGAAAAATCGGTTTGGTTAGTGGTAAAACAGTGTAATGTTGTACAATGACTATCACACACAATGATGTAACATTTAAGGGACAGAATAGCAATGAAATTATAAAACAAATGGTCAAAATGGCTATGGCTCTTCCCCTACTTCCTGAGAATCAAATCCAACTAGAAATGAACGTATTAGTAGGACAGAACAATCCAGGAACAGAAGAGTTCCATACATACCTTAGAGATTACTGGTTTGGACAAATGATCTCCGTGAATCGTCTTCTCCAGCGGCCGTGGAGTCATTCCATCGGAATTTATTCCGATTAGTAGGAAGACCCCACCCTAACCATGGAGCATTCTAAAAGCTGTGATATCAGGCGGCTGGAGAGTGGAATTGTTCTGCCCAGACCACGACGCCCCATGTACCTCCAGGTTGAAAGAGCCATAAATAGGGCCCAAACTCTTCTGGAAGCTGATAACAATATTTTGTTAATCTTACGAAGGATGTCGCATACAGTTGGGAGACTTTCGAGATTATTTCAACCTGCAGAAGGTAGGTAAACATGATACAATTGATAGAAGATCATACAACATTAATCGTAATAGCGTCAGAATAGTGGTAACAGTTTCATTATGAAAGTAGTGAAAGTTTTGAATTAATAACGTCGACAAAAGAAACGTTAAAATGCCGTCGTTCAGTTTGAATAATAGTTACGTTGATATAATGATAATGATAAGAGGACTACAGGGCAGTAAAGAATCTTCAAGGGCAAGATCGAGAAGCGGTATGTGCAGCGAACAAGATAAGATAACTACAGGAAGCAGAGAGAGTGAAGAATCTTCAAGGGCAAGATCTAGAAGCGGTATGCACAGCGATCAAGATAAGAGGACTACAGGAAGCAGAGAGAATAAGGCATCTGCAGACGGAGTGGAGAGAATATCTTCGAAGTCTTAATGACAACATAAACCACTATTTCCAGAAATCTTACACTTGAGTATATATTAAGGCGTGGCTGATATATCTGCAGCTTGAATAACGAGATATATCAACCAACTCAAACCAAAATATTTCAACATGAGTGTTAAATCAATAAAATTGAAGCTGCTCTACTATTTGATTTGTTGGGACTTGTATATGTGGGCACCTGTGAATGGAGATCATTACATGGATAAAGAGAAAGGAATATTAACTTATAATTCCGGGGAAGTCTATATTTTTGATAGCTTTATATATATTCCAGTAGTCCTAGTGATGCCCACAAAGATTCAACAGACAGTGGAGCAAATGTTTTCCTCAGATGATTGTGGAATACTAGAAAAACTTCAAGAATCAATGGATAAGACCACTCAATTATTGGAAGAGAAGTTGCCGATATTAACCCCCATTGATAGGCCACCATCGCTGAAAGATTTAATGGCATCTGAAGGCAAGGTAACAATTGAAGGAAAAAAGTCAACTAATTTATCCCGACCTGATGTCAAGATCCGAAGGCTTAATAATAAAAGATTGACTCATGGACACCACAGAAGCAAAAGGATTGCACCATTAGTGATTTGGGGAGGAACAGCATTACTCACCTTAGCAGGAGTTGCAATCTATAATAGAGCAGATATTGAGATAGAGAAGTCCCACATGAACAACCTCTTAAAAAACCAGGAAACATTGGAACAATATGCAAAAACTACTAGAGAGACCGTAAACCTACTTATTGATAGGGAGGAAAGTTTAGTCATGGCCGTAAACAATATTAAGGAAAAGATTAATGAGATCATAAAAGATTACACTTGTTTAAAAAAGGATTTTTCCACTTATATGGACTATATGGTAACATGGTCAAACATCGCGCCAAACTCATTTCTACGAGCAGTAAATGGAGCTCTAGGAGGAAAACTAACTATAGATTTACTGCCTGGAGATCAGCTGCAAAGAGTCATGCAGTACTACCCAGAGTTTGCAGATACTATCTTTCAAAAAGACCCTCTCATGATGTATCAGTCTGCAAGAGTTAAGGTGCTAAAGATCTCAAAAAATCCACCAATGTTAGAGACTATAGTTTCTGTTCCTAGAGTATTATATCCTGTGTTTGGATCTGTATACGCTCAAAAAGCTTGTCCATGGAAGATCAATAATACCATTATAACTATTAAAGAACAAACAACTAAAATACTGTCTGCTGAAACACACTCATGGTATTCTATGAAGGGATGCAATGGCATGGATAACACCTACTTATGTGATATGAGAGAAATGATCCACACTCCCGAGCACTGCCTTAGTCTGGATGAAAAACCGGACCTTACCAAATGTCCCTTGGTTGAGGTAGATTCAGACTTTGATAAGGTAGTTCAAACTCCAGATGGTATAATGGTCTGTGGAGATAACACTTCAGTGCATATATTCACTAGAAACGCACTAGGTGTCTTGCACACTAGGGCAGAGACTATTAATCAACCAACCTATTATACCGCAGAAACTGGAGATTCCATATTGGTACATGAAAACCATTACAACTTGCGACATACTGACCGTCCTATTATTATACAAACTCAAGCATTTGTACATAAACATATAAATGATAGTGACTTTATAAACTCATTAGATTTTATGGGAGAGAGCAAACGCATTAAACACTTAGACGATTTGCCAGGCTTACTTGAATTTCTTACCGTTCTTGCTCGTCTTCCTGTATATTTCTTATTTTCGGTAATTCCACATATTTCAAAATCTACTACTCTCGAAGATTCTTCATCATGGGTCACTTGATTTGTCCACTGTAGACATATTGGTGAAATTGGCCCATCCAATCCAACTCGTTCAGCAATACTGGAGTCTATCAGCGTTACAGTTGATCCCTCATCCAACAAGGCGAATGTATCTGCAGACTCACTCGGTCCAGATATTCTTACTTTGACAATCTTCAAAAGTGCAGAGCAAGTATTCTCCAAGACCCCACAGAAATTCGTTTGTTGTACCTCTTGATTTTCTACAGGTGCTGTGTTTCCTTCTGATGACTCTCTGCATTCTCTCGCAATATGCACAAGCCTATTGTGTTTACCACCACATCGATCTATGTTACATCTAATTCTCCTGAAACATTTTTTCACCGGATGTCCATAAATCAGACATTTATAACAAAGACCATTTTCTTGTACATACTTCCTCCTATTTTCTATTGTCATTTCTAAAAATATTTTGTTTGCAATTTTCGATTCGATGATATCCCTCATTACATAATTTACAACTTTCCCTATCTTTCTCAACCACATTCATAATCCTTTCTCTTTTTCGAAAATTAAATCTATTTGTTGAACTCATTTGAGATAGCACGTTAACTGACATTAGAAAATTTACTTCAGTTTTCAGCCAATTAGAAAAACTCTTTAGATTGACACTTCCTGAGGTCTCATTTGTCCTGATTTTTTCTACAGCCCAAGATCTTTTAGAATTCCTGGGCAATTTTTCTTCAAGTTTTATCAATAGTTCAGGATTATCTAAATATTTATCACATCCGGAATTTTCCATAGCTACTACCATATTAGAGACTACAACTGAAAATTGAATGAAGGAATCCATAGAATCTTCTCTTGGATTGATACATTTCCTCGCTCTTTCTATCAAATTTATTACTATCCATTCTGTTTTTCCAAAATTAAGTTTTAGTGTTTCAATGATGTTGTTGATGTTATTTGAACTACAATATAGATCCTTCACAATTTCTTTTGCACGACCCTTCAAACATTTTTGTAATCGATTCAGGTTTTCTGCATTTGATATATTTCTTTCTCTAGTTGACCGCTCGTATTCATTGATCCAAAAAGGAAATTCGTTGATATCACCATGAAATTCTGGCAAAGGGGAAACATACTGTCTAGTGGCTAATTTTTCAATATTGGAGCTTAAATTTTGCAGACATTTTGTTAGAATATCTGGAATATTGTCCTCTCTCGTATTTGGACGGTCATCAAAAAAGTTATTATCCGAAATATGGTGACTCTAATGTGCTTCAATTTTGAAATTATTTGTATCAGTTTGGTATGTTTCGATATTGGACATATCATCAAAATTTTCATCAATGGTATTGAGATCAGTATTTAAATAAATGCAATTCTTACTTTGATTCACCCAGTGTTGTGTATACCTCCGTTTTTCCTCTTCCAAAATACCTGCTTCTGATATTCTTTCAGAGCCCTTACTGGATGCCATAACTGATTTCTCTTCTTGTACTGCTTCCAATTGTAGCTGTAGCATCTGTAGCTTGATCTCCCTCTTCTTATTGTTCAGCCTCCTCATTGTTCCATTCGACTTCGAAGATGTTCTCTCCACTCCGTCTGCAGATGCCTTATTCTCTCTGCTTCCTGTAGTCCTCTTATCTTGATCGCTGTGCATACCGCTTCTAGATCTTGCCCTTGAAGATTCTTCACTTCTAAGGACAGTAAAGAATCTTCAGGGGCAAGATCGAGAAGCGGTATGTGCAGCGAACAAGGTAAGATAACTACAGGAAGCAGAGAGAGTGAAGAATCTTCAAGGGCAAGATCTAGAAGCGGTATGCACAGCGATCAAGATAAGAGGACTACAGGAAGCAGAGAGAATAAGGCATCTGCAGACGGAGTGGAGAGAATATCTTCGAAGTCTTAATGACAACATAAACCACTATTTCCAGAAATCTTACACTTGAGTATATATTAAGGCGTGGCTGATATATCTGCAGCTTGAATAACGAGATATATCAACCAACTCGAACCAAAATATTTCAACATGAGTGTTAAATCAATTACATTGAAGCTGCTCTACTATTTGATTTGTTGGGACTTGCATATGTGGGCACCTGTGAATGGAGATCATTACATGGATAAAGAGAAAGCAATATTAACTTATAATTCCGGGGAAGTCTATATTTTTGATAGCTTTATATATATTCCAGTAGTCCTAGTGATGCCCACAAAGATTCAACAGACAGTGGAGCAAATGTTCTCCTCAGATGATTGTTGAATACTAGAAAAACTTCAAGAATCAATGGATAAGACCACTCAATTATTGGAAGAGAAGTTGCCGATATTAACCCCCATTGATAGGCCACCATCGCTGAAAGATTTAATGGCATCTAAAGGCAAGGTAACAATTGAAGGAAAAAAGTCAACTAATTTATCCCGACCTGATGTCAAGATCCGAAGGCTTAATAATAAAAGATTGACTCATGGACACCACAGAAGCAAAAGGATTGCACCATTAGTGATTTGGGGAGGAACAGCATTAAGGCCGATTCTCACTAGGAGCGGTGCTGCGCGGCGCGGCAAAAGTCGCTTGCAATTATTTGCTTGTAAATAAGTGATCCCGTCCTCACCTAAGCAGAGCGGTGAGAAGCGGTGCAGAGCGTTCATCGCACAACGCCTCCAGGAGCATTGGCACGCGGCACTACCGCTTTGCAACGCTCCCTACCGCCTGTTGACGGACAAATGTGAATCACGTCGCGTCAAAAGCAAGCTGCGACTTGTTCAAAAAACAATTTCAGAGTAGTGGTTGGAAAACGAAATAAATATGGACGCGGAAAAAATTGAGAGACTGATTTTATTAGTTAATGACTATAATGAACTGTACGACATGTCAAATAAAAATTACAGCAACCAAAATAGGAGGGATAATATTTGGTCAGAAATTGGGAAGAAACTTAATGAAAATGGTAAGTTCCCATTGCACTTATGTCTCAGAAGAACCAACTATGCAGAAATTCAAATATTATACAGTAAAATGAATATATGTATGTATAATTTAAATTATTTAAACGCTATGCAGCTTCTGTATAGATCATTGTATCTTACCTGGTGTTTCTGTGATTTGTGACCTTACATTTATTAACAATTTTAGACCTGCTGATTTCTCTAAATCTACTGAAATGTCATTCCGAAAATTAATTTGCACATGAAAATACGGACTTCTTAATAATTAAATGAAGTTTTCAAATAATAATTTATTACTTTTCACAGAAACAACAAGTTTCGGAATACGGCATTCACAGTTACCTAACATTATGATTTACGAATTATTGAAACATACAGGGAATTTAAATACAGGTTAAACCAAAAAAAAAATATTATAGGACAGTATGATAGTACAGTATTACATATTTTTATTATCTAGCATAAATGGTGTATAAACTAGTGGTTTATTGTAACAAAATTTAAAATCCAAGTTGTTTACAATATACCGGCATTAACTGTATCCTGTTGCCAAGAAAAGGCACCTTCTGGAGACATAAAATATTCTTTAAAAATGCCCCTTACTTCGATTGCATCAGTCGAAAATTTTCCACCAATATGAGATAAATCTGATAAAATTGGCACGTCCTTTTCCATTTTTTCATCATCTAATACACATAGGAGAGCATTATCATTTCTGAGGAAGTTATGAAGACACAAAGTAGATAAAACAAGTGTATCTGCATTTTTGGGATGAAGTTGTAGTTTATTCAAAAAAACTCTAAACTTTTGACACATAAGTCCGAAAGCATTTTCGGATACTCTGCGAGCTCTGGAAAGCCGATAATTAAACACCCTTTGATCTTGTGGTAGTCCACGACCTGAATAAGGTCGCATAAGGTAAGTTTTGCAAGGGAATGCTTCATCCCCCACTATTACATATGGTACGGGTTTCCCATTATTTGTAATAGGACGATCGTCAGGCATTCCAAACGTTTTGCTTTTTAAACATTTTCCTATATTACTGTCACTAAATATTCCACCATCGCTGTTCTTCCCGTAAGCTCCAACATCCACAGCAACAAACCTATAGTCAGCATCTACCAATGCCAGTAGCACTATTGAGAATGTTTTTTTATAATTGAAGTATAACGACCCACTTCCTGGAGGTGCCTGCATGGTGATATGCTTTCCATCTATCGCAGCTACGCAATTAGGAAAATTCCAGAGGTTTTCAAATCTTTTTGCGCAGTTCTGAAGTAGTTCCGTTGTCGGTTGAGGCATGACATCATCTCTTAGAGTTTCCCAAATGACTTTACTAGTATGAGTTACAATATTTTGAATGGTGGAGTGTCCTATTCTGAAGTTAAATGATAGCGCCTGGTAGTCTGTTCCTGTAGCCAAAAACCTGGAAAAGATAAATTGAACAATAGAGTAATATTTTAAACCTTTTAGACTTCTTAACTATCGGGCCATTTGAGTTTTTTTTTTAACTGCTTTAACTTTCTAGTTTACTTAATAAATTGTTTAAGGCGATATTTGCAAGAAGAAGTGGAAAACACTTAGGGATGCTTTTCAAAAGGCTGCAAAAAGTATGCAAACAAAATCCGGGCAAGCTGCAACAATTAGCAGAAAATGGAAATATTGGGATGCGATGAGCTTTCTTTTGCCGCATATTAAAGGAAGGGAGTGAGTAGATTGTATATTGTTTCAAGTTGGTAGTTATCTTATCAAGAGTTCATTAATTGTAGGACGCAAACAAACGTTTGTAGTGACGAAACAGGTGAGAACTTCGAAGATGGAGATGAAATTGATTCTGAAAGCCATTTTGAACAAACCGAGGAAACCGAGGAACAAACCTTCGAAAATAATTATCATGAAAACCCGACAAGTCCATCCGTATCGCTGCCTACTACCCAACAGTCTTGTTCTTCAAGTGCAGTGAATGTTTCAAGACCAGTATCTCGTGTTGCAAGCGCAAAAAGTGACGCGGTTCCAAATAAAAAAAATAAAAGTGCACCTAGAACAGCGGAATCTATGCCAGAGATACTAAAAGAATATATACAAGAAAAAAAACGCAGCCGTTTAGAAAAACAAACTTTGGCAACTGCGACACAATCAACAGATAGTAAAGATAGCCCACTTCTAGAATTTTTCACAAGCATGGCGAAAACTACGTCCACAATTCCCCCATTATGGCAGGCTAAAGTAAAAAATAAGATCTTTGAAATAGTAAATTTCCATGAATTGGCGCTTTTAGAAGCTTCCTCAGCCTCACCGGCTCCACCACTAGTTACAGAAAGTCTTACACAACCTCAAACACAATCAACTGTACACACACAGCAGATGCATATTCTTCCAATGCAAAATCAGTCACCAGTGCAAAACCAATCAACCACCAATTCTTTACTTTGCTACAATAACGAGTCATTATTACACTCATTACAGCCTCCTTCAGCAGCATACTATTCATCATTCGCAGCTCAATTATCTGCTATTGAAAAAAGTTCTGGGCAAAATATTATGAGACCAACTACAGATGCAGGTTTAGATACGGCTGCAACTGACCTATCAAACAGGATGTGAAAATGAAGTACCAGACATTTCAATTCCAGATTTTCCGTTAATATTTTTTGACATTTTGCATAGTTTATTCGTTTATGTTACAACACATTAAGAGTTAATTTTTTATACTATAGTTTTAAATTATTTTGATAATAAACTATGCTAATTGAACCTTATTTATGATTTATTAGGTTTTCAACTTACCTTATAAAGACAGTTAGCCTCTCAAGTGGACTGATGCTTTGACGAAATTTGGTATTTTGCTTGGTTAGGGGAATGCGTAAAAGATCTGATTGAATTTTCCTGAAGACATCCTAAAATATTTGTAAAATTTACGTTCGTCCTGCTGCAGTCTCCTAAATAGTGTGTGAAATTCACCTTCTTCCAGCCTTGCACGAAATATGTCATGAACCCAATATTGTCGCTTCTTTTTTCTTCTATTTTCGTATTCATGACATATTGCCGCTACAAAAACCAAATCGTCTGATGATGACGATGTGGGATCCTCCTCCGGTATTACCAAACTCATTATCACTTCATTTAACAAAATAATTAAATATAGATTTCTACTGCTTCGCTCACCGCTGCTGCTACAAAATGCCGCTTAGGTGAGAATAGCCTGGACAAAAACTGCTTCGTCCAGTACCGCGCCGCGCCGCACCGCGCCGCTCGGCACCGCTCTAGTGAGAATCGGCCTTTACTCACCTTAGCAGGAGTTGCAATCAATAATAGAGCAGATATTGAGATAGAGAAGTCCCACATAAACAACCTATTAAAAAACCAGGAAACATTGGAACAATATGCAAAAACTACTAGAGAGACCGTAAACCTACTTATTGATAGGGAGGAAAGTTTAGTCATGGCCGTAAACAATATTACGGAAAAGATTATTGAGATCATAGAAGATTACACTTGTTTAAAAAAGGATTTTTCCACTTATATGGACTATATGGTAACATGGTCAAACATCGCGCCAAACTCATTTCTACGAGCAGTAAATGGAGCTCTAGGAGGAAAACTAACTATAGATTTACTGCCTGGAGATCAGCTGCAAAGAGTCATGCAGTACTAGCCAGAGTTTGCAGATACTATCTTTCAAAAAGACCCTCTCATGATGTATCAGTCTGCAAGAGTTAGGGTGCTAAAGATCTCAAAAAATTCACCAATGTCCTGTGTTTGGATCTGTATACGCTCAAAAAGCTTGTCCATGGAAGACCAATAATACCATTATAACTATTAAAGAACAAACAACTAAAATACTGTCTGCTGAAACACATTCATCGTATTCTATGAAGGGATGCAATGGCATGGATAACACCTACTTATGTGATATGAGAGAAATGATCCACACTCCCGAGCACTGCCTTAGTCTGGATGAAAAACCGGACCTTACCAAATGTCCCTTGGTTGAGGTAGATTCAGACTTTGATAAGGTAGTTCAAACTCCAGATGGTATAATGGTCTGTGGAGATAACACTTCAGTGCATATATTCACTAGAAACGCACTAGGTGTCTTGCACACTAGGGCAGAGACTATTAATCAACCAACCTATGATACCGCAGAAACTGGAGATTCCATATTGGTACATGAAAACCATTACAACTTGCGACATACTGACCGTCCGGTTATTATACAAACTCAAGCATTTGTACATAAACATATAACTGATAGTGACTTTATAAACTCATTAGATTTTATGGGAGAGAGCAAACGCATTAAACACTTAGACGATTTGCCAGGCTTACTTGAATTTCTTACCGTTCTTGCTCGTCTTACTGTATATTTCTTATTTTCGGTAATTCCACATATTTCAAAATCTACTGCTCTCGTAGATTCTTCATCATGGGTCACTTGATTTGTCCACTGTAGACATATTGGTGGAATTGGCCCATCCAATCCAACTCGTTCAGCAATACTGGAGTCTATCAGCGTTACAGTTGATCCCTCATCCAACAAGGCGAATGTATCGGCATACTCACTCGGTCCAGATATTCTTACTTTGACAATCTTCAAAAGTGCAGAGCAATTATTCTCCAAGACCCCACAGAAATTCGTTTGATGTACCTTGCAATTTTCGATTCGATGATATCCCTCATTACATAATTTACAAGTTTCCCTATCTTTCTCAACCACATTCATAATCCTTTCTCTTTTTTGAAAATTAAATCTATTTGTTGAACTCATTTGAGATGGCACGTTAACTGACATTATCAAATTAACTTCAGTTTTCAGCCAATTAGAAAAACTCTTTAGATTGACACTTCCTGAGGTCTCATTTGTCCTGATTTTTTCTACAGCCCAAGATCTTTTAGAATTCCTGGGCAATTTTTCTTCAAGTTTTATCAATAGTTCAGGATTATCTAAATATTTATCACATCCGGAATTTTCCATAGCTACTATCATATCAGAGACTACAACTGAAAATTGAATGAAGGAATCCATAGAATCTTCTCTTGGATTGATACATTTCCTCGCTCTTTCTATCAAATTTATTACTATCCATTCTGTTTTTCCAAAATTAAGTTTTAGTGTTTCAATGATGTTGTTGATGTTATTTGAACTACAATATAGATCCTTCACAATTTCTTTTGCACGACCCTTCAAACATTTTTGTAATCGATTCAGGTTTTCTGCATTTGATATTGTCGCGAAAATACATAGAACACGCTGTATATCAGTCTCTACCCACTTCATGACCGCGAGCTATACGCCAGATTGTCAAGTCAGCAAGATGCCCACAGCGTGCGGGGGACCGGGGGAAGCAACGACTCAAGCAACTGCATTTTATGTATTTGTACCGGCAGTTGTACTTAACATCGTGACATTGTTACAACTCACCAATAAACATCTAAATCGAACCTTTTGGCCTATAAATTCGCCCCAAGTCCCCAAGCAGTGTCACAAATTGGTGAAGGCGCCGGGCATCTCGTGTAATAAAATAAAATTAAAATTTCTGAACCAAAATCTAAATCAAAATCACCGACAAATTTAACGAAACAGTGGTGAAAAGTTTAATGTTCACAAGAAGCCGTGCTAGAATTCCGATAATAATACAAGAACAAGAAGCAAGGAACGAAGATCGAGTTGCAGAGGAAGAAAGAGTAGTAGAAAACATAAACGAGGAAATTATGGAAGTCAACCAGGCGCCTAGAGAAATCTACCCGTCGGTAAGTCCCAAGGTGTTTTCGGAAGCAACCGAAGAGAGAGTGGAAGATTTCATCAAAACTTTCAATCGAGCCGCCAGAGCTAATAGGTGGACCGATGAAACGAAACTCATCCAGTTGCTATGCTATCTTAGCGGGGCAGCGCTAGATTTTTTCGAAACCATTGAAGATGGGTGCGAAACTGTAGAGGAAGCGATGCAAAACTTACAAGCGAACTTTCGAAATGAAAAAGTTCAGGAGCAAGGGTACATGAAGCTACTAACAAGAAAGCAGCAGGAGTCGGAGGATGTTTGGCAGTACTATCATGAGATGCTGAAGCTGTGCCACGACGTCAACCACGAAATGGAGGAAGAGGAAAAAGTTGGATTTGTCATTAGAGGCCTGAAGCCATGTCTGATCAGCAAGTTGAACCTCATGGACAACTCCACCTTGGACAACTTTAGGAAGAATTTGCAGCGCAACGGACTACATGGTAGGAGAAGCTTCGACCAGTCATTCAACCGCAAGTAGCGTCCCGACGCCTCGCAGAACAGCCAGTATGGAGGATCCTCAACTTCAGGGGCTTCTACAGCGGATTCAACAGCTAGAAGGACAATCCGGTAGGTCGAAAAACAATTATAACCATTACTCTCATAATCGTCAAAATTTTATCAAAAAGGAGCCTCCTACTTCCGACGAAAGAGTAGTTTGCTTCAAATGCGGCAAAATAGGCCATTATGCACGGAATTGCTTTGTAAAAAACGACCAGCCACGTCGCCAATAGGTTCAGGCGACGAGAATTGCTTTAATTTGTCACAATCACTTTGTTCACTTAGCGAAAGTAACAATTTTGCAGAGTTGATTGAAGTTAACGGAGTAATCTTTTCTCACAATGTTAAATTTATTCTAGATACAGGGTCAGGCATTTCTTTAATTGATGATTTTGTAATGAATAAGTATAAGAATTTAGTGAAAAAGGCACCAAATATTAGAATAAAATCAGCTAGTGGCAATTTTCTCATAGTATTAGGAGAAATACAAGCTAATTTTAAATTGAATGGGCTTGAATTGAATCATAATTTCATAGTAATTTCAAATTTTGGAAAAAGAATAATTTTGGGTAACGATTTTAATGAAAAATTTCAAGTGGAAATTTATTTTCTTACAAAAACTATCAAATTAGCAGTGAACGAGACTATTTATCAAGTGAAATTTGGAAAAGTTGATTTTAATAACTGTTTTCAAAGAAAAAATGAGGTAACCTGTATCGAAGAAGTTGATTTGCCACCTTTGAGCACTAGTAAAGTTAAAGTTAACATAGATAGCGATGAGAAAAATCTGAATTTTGAGTCATGTCAAAATTTTTTCAAGAACAGAAATTGTCAAGTAACTAAAGTAGATTTCAAGAAATCTGTCATTTTTGTCATGAACCGAGCATTAATAAAGGTAACGATTTATAAGGGGACTTGTTCAGGCAAAGTAAAATTGTCTAATTATTCGTCCGGGACGAATAGAAATGTATTCCTTGACTTCATGCAGAGTCATGAAAGTACAAAAGGTACTAGGGATACGGCTGTTCTAATTCATGAAGCTTCAAAACATACGTTAGACGACATCTGTAACGTAGGTATTAATGTGAATGAACATCTGTCCGAAAACGAACGTAAAAAATTGTGTAACTTAATAAGCGAGTATTCTGATATTTTTGCAACAAGTAATTTAGAGTTAGGTAGAACAAATGTTTGTATTCAAAACATAGAGACTGGCAATCATCCTCCAATACACCAAACACCGTATCGAGTTTCATTCAAAGAGCGCGAGATTATCAACAATCAGATCAAGGAAATGCTAGCCGCTAATGTTATCAGAGAGTCCAGCAGTCCGTGGGCGTCACCCGTGGTCTTAGTCAAGAAGAAAAGAGGCGATTGGAGATTTTGTGTAGATTTTCGTAAATTGAATAAAATTATTGTCAATGATAGATACCCATTACCAGTTATTGATGACTTGCTATCAGCATTAGAGGGTTCAAGGGTTTTCTCAACATTAGATTGTTTTTCCGGTTTTTGGCAAATTAGTTTGGCAGAAGAAGATAAGTTCAAGACGGCGTTTATTGTACCGGAAGGACTATTCGAGTTTAATGTCTTGCCATTTGGACTGGCTAGTAGTCCAGCGTGTTTTTCAAGGTGTATGGACCAAATTTTGGCAGGTTTAAAGTGGAACACTTGTTTGGTGTATATGGATGATGTAATTGTCAAAGGAAATAATTTTGATGATCATCTAGTAAATCTACGTAAAGTTTTTGAACGTTTTAGGCAATCAAACATGAAATTGAAATCTACTAAGTGTAAATTCGCTAGTCAAGAAGTTAAGGTGTTAGGTCACGTCGTAAGCAAGAATGGCTTATCCCCAGATCCGGCAAAAATTCGCGCAGTTTCGGAATTTCCGCGGCCGAAAACTGTCGAAGATGTTAAGTCGTTTCTAGGTCTGGCAAATTTCTATAGGAAGTTTGTGAAGTCGTTCGCTGAGATTGCTCGACCTCTCACTTTGCTCACAAGGAAACAGGTAGAGTACGATTGGACGGGTGAACAACAAAGGGCATTCGACACCCTAAAAAGTTGTTTGGTGCAAGCACCTGTTTTGGCTCATTTCAATCCGAATTTGCCTGTTGAACTTGATACTGATGCCTCAGGGTACGGTATCGGGGCAATTGTACTTCAGACTGACAAAGACGGTGCGCATCCAGTAGCGTACGCGTCGCGACGCCTTTCAGAATCCGAGTTAAAATGGAATACTACAGAAAAAGAGTGCGTAGCTGTTGTCTATGGCGTAACTACGTTCAGGCATTATTTATGGGGCAGAAGTTTCAAGGTTGTAGTGGACCATCACGCTTTGTGTTGGCTTCACAAAAATCAAGATGTGTCAGGTAGA